GCACCCTCACCGTCCCCACAGCGTCCTCACACCCCCACAGCGTCCTCGCTGTCCCCCAGGCGTTGTCACCTAGCATGTCTCGCATGCCTTCCCACGTGGCCTTTTGGGAGTGTCTCTGGAAGGGGAGAGTTCACCCACTGACTCCTGTCTGCCCCTGGGGTGAGAAGGGGCATAGGAGGATGGGTTTGTGTCCCCTTGAACGCCTTTTTCTGAGCTTGGCGAGGGGAATTTCCAGGTCAGTGGGACAGAGAAGGCCCGATCAGAAGGATTTATTCAGCACCAGAGTTTGGAGGAAAGGCCAGGGTCTGGATGGCATTGTGCCCCACGGTCCTCCCAAGCCTGGAGGTGCGGGTTCGCCTCCCTCGGGGTAAAGTGGGCAGGAGCTCTGCCCCAGGTGGGTCTGGGCCTGCAGGTGGGGTGGGTCTGAGATTGGGCAGCGGACGAGGCCGAAGCGGGTCCAGGTTGGCGAGAGGGCTCCTTGGGCAGGGTCCTGTCGAGTTTGCAGGCCCGCGTTGCTCAGCGCCGGGTCTCTCCTCAGGACGCGCCGGTTCCGGCCGACTCGTCCACCAGCGGGGCGGTCAGCGACAGCGGGGGCGCGGCGCGGGCGCGGATGCGCAGCCTCCGCAGGCGGCACAGGAGCAGCACCAGCAGCAGCGCGTGCAGCAGCCCCAGGCCCAGCAGCGCGAGCTGCGCCGCCAGCGCCCCCCAGCAGAGCGAGCCGGGAGCGCAAGCGGCACGCAGCTCGTCCTCTGCCAGGTAGGGCAGCAGGCGGCCGCGCAGTGCCGGGGGCGCCACGCAACGCAGGTCGCGGTAGGGGGCACGCTCGGGGCGGCCGGCCAGCCAGGCGCGCAGCGGAACCAGGTGGCAGTCGCAGCGCCAGGGGTTGGCGCCCAGGTGTGCGGCGCGCAGCGCGGGCAGCGCGTCCAGCAGCCCCGGCGGCAGCGCCGTCAGGTTGTTGCCGGTCAGCACCAGCTCGGTTGTGTCGACAGGGAAGGCGGTCGGCAGCGAGGCCCAAGTCAGCCCGCGGCGCCCGCAGTCCACTAGCGTCCCCGCGCAGCTACAGGGCGCCGGGCAACCTGCGGCCGGGCGGCTCGGCGGCGCCAGCAGCAAGAGCAGTAAGCTCAGCGCCCCGCGCGGCCCTGCAAGGGAAGGCCGCAGTGAGCCGGGCGGTCGGCGGGGCGCCTGGACGACGTCTCCGAGCGCCCAGAGCGCCGGCCCGGCTCCATCCAGCCCCCTGATGCGCGGCGTCCCAGTAGCCCGCCCCCCTCTCCACCCTGACCACCCCGCCCCCCCTCCACCCTGACCACCCCGTACTCTGGCTAGAAGTCCCCACCAAGCCTGATCCAAGTCTCTCCCTGCTGCAGCCAAAGAACCAGAGTGCCTCTCAACCCGGATCGGCCTAGGGAGCAGCCGGGGGCCCAACCAGACTCCAGACTCACCAGAGCCCATGGCGAGAGGACGGCGGCCCGGCTTGCTCTGGAGCGAGAGGCGTAGGTGGGAGAGCCGACCCATAAGGCTGCCCCGCCCCCGCCGGGTCCCGGCACGCCCGCACCCACCACAGTGCTGTGGCTGGGCCAGAAATAGCCTAGAGGCCGCGCGGACGCGCGCGGACTCGGCAGATAGCGCGCTATCGTCGGAGGCCGAGGCCGCAGGGATTTCCGTTCCCACCCGCTTTCAGGGGCACACGGAGCACTCGGACACCTACTGCGACGTTCACCAATATTGTTCTCCTGTCACCAGGACAGGATGCGGCATTCACAACGGAACAAAACGGAACATCGTGTGGCGGGAAAGGATCATGCGGGTGGGAAGATGGGGAGGCCGAGGCTCGGGATCCCGGCACACGCCTGTGGTGCTGAAAGAAGAGGCCTCGGGCAAGGGCAGTGGACGGCACCGAGAGTTGCCAGGAGGTGGCTCTCTGCCCAGTGCCCCTGGGGCCCTCCAGGTCGGGCCTGGCTGTAGAGAAGGGGTGTGGGCAGTCACGCCCGCCCTCCTCACAGCCTCTGACCTCCTTATGTCTGGAGGATTCCCATTTGATTAAGCCCAACCCTGCCCGCTGGGCTCCGAGGCTAAGGGAAGACCCTGCCCGCCTCGACGGAAAATGGGGTCTCAGCACTTGCTGGGTGACCCGCGGGAGCAGGCAAAGGAGGGCTTCCAAGTCCGTTCTGCAGCTCTGGGGCAGAGAACAGACCCTGGACCCTGGGAATCGCTTTCCCTCTTCTGCCTTGGTTTGCCTGCCTGCCAGAGCAGGGCCTGCAGTTTGGGCGCTGTGACCTCCCGGGGCGAGGGAAGAGCAAGAGAGGCGGATCTCTGAAGTCCTGCCCAACTTCGCTCCAGATCCCCCAAAGCCAGAGAGGGCCAGCTGGGAGGGGCTACGGTCCAGGCCCCTTGGAAGCAGATACGAAAGGCCTGGGAGGGGTGGTGCTGAAAATAAATTAGGGTCAGCTGGGGGCTGTGGCCCCGCGTCTCCGGGTCGGGAACAGTCCGGTCTAGGATCCAGGGGTAGGAGGGCGTCCCGGAGACGGACGGCGTGTCCGCGGCGAGCGTCACTGGTCCTGCATCTGCTGCTTCATTCTCTGCAGCATCTCCTGCATGCGCCTCAGCTGTGGGCGGAGACAACGGGGCTGGTAAGCAGCACCTCTGAGGTGCATCCCTGCCGCCCGCCCCCGACGCCCCACACACCTCCTCATCCTTCATCCTGATGAGCTTCTCAGTCTCGGCATCCGGGGTGGGCAGCGGCAGGATCGGGATGGGGCTCTCCATGCGGCTGTCCTGGGTCAGTTTGCTGCGGGGGAGGGATGGGCGGGGCGACGCTGCTGGGAGGCTCAGCGTGGGCTGGCGATGCCTGGCCCATCCCCGCCACTGCCGAGGCCCTGCCCTCCGGAGCCCTCACAGCCCTTGACTGGCTCTAGGGAGGCCAGGCTCTGGGGGGCCGATTTGGGGGATGGAGCGACATTCAAGTCTGGGTGGGCTGGCAGGACCTGCCCTCAGTTATGGAGACGTGGGCGGGGCCTGGCTCGGGGCGGGGTCTGGCTCGCGGCGGTGGCGCGCACCTGGTCATCTGCTGGATGCAGTGCGCGCGGTAGTTCTCGTAGTGCACGTCGCACGTCACGTCCTTGAGGTCGTGCATGTGCGTGCGGATGAGCATGTTGCGCAGCTTCACGAAGTCACAGTGCGCCTGGTTCTCCACTGCAGGGTGGGAGTGGGCAGTGGGCGAGCGCCGGCCTAGGACAGCCTTCCCACCCCAGACCTGGTACCCCAAGACTCACTCACCCTCCACGATCCCCCAGGGGTACAGTCGGCCCCGGACCCGCTGCCCCTTGGCTTCCACCACCGTGTTGCTGCCTATAACAGCGAAGGGAGCGCTCTCCTGGAGGGAGGAGGGGAAAGGGCTCACACCAGGTCAGCATAATTGCAGGGTTAGTGATGGGAAAGAGGCAGGGGCCCTCAGCTCCTGGGGCACCCCTCCAGCATCACCATCAACGACCTCTCTTCAAAGAGATCCTGGCATTGCCCCTTTTTGGCCTCTGCCGATGTGGCTGGAGCCAGAGCCCATGCAGCTCACATTCCGGGGCCTTACCAGGCTATGGCCCAACCAGGCACGCTCGGTCCCTCCCTCATCAAGATCACTCGCTCCAGCTGCCCCTTCCCTCCCCAGGGCTGAGCCTATGTCTCCTCATGCTGATGCCCTTGCCCTGGTGGCCACCTGCCCCTGGCATGGTCTCCATTATCACCACCACTGCAGATGCTGGGGCACTCAAAGCCACCAACCCTGGAGCTCAGAAATCTGGGAGCCAGGGTGTGCCACCAGACCAGGCCCTCTGGTGGTGAGCCATGGGAAGATGGTCAGGGCTGGGGTCCTGGCCCACTGCTGCACTTCTGGATTTGAGCAAGTGCTCCATAACTGCCAAGCATCATGCGGGGCCCACATGACCCACCCCAGCCAGGCAAAGACATGATGACCTTTACCCTGTAGCCCTGGATGAAGTACAGGTCCTCTACTCTTAGAACAAATGACTCTTGCCCCAACCAGACTGACTTGACCCTCCTTCCAGTAGGCCAGGTGTGAAGGAGACAGGTCCTCTGGTTCTGCCCCTCACCACCTCTGTCCCCCTTCCTCCACCCGTCTGCATGTTCACCTTCAGTTCCCGGTCCTGCTGCTTGAAGTCCTCATCCTCATCCGAGTCACACTCAGGGAACTGGTATACATGGATCCCGAACTTGTCAATCTCCTCCCGGATCTGTGGTGGGGTAAGGGCTGTCAGATTTGAGGCTGGCCAAGTCCCCCTGGTACTCTCAGCCCCAGGGTCCTGGCCAGGCCCCTGTGTGGCAGCAGGCTCACCCGCTCCTTCAGCTTCCGGATCTCACTCGGGATGAGACAGTCAGCTTTGGCGATGAGAGGGACGATGTTGACCTTCTCATGCAACGCCTTCATGAAACCCACATCCACCGGCCGCAGCCTGTGGAGACCAGCCAGGGGTGGGCATGGGCACAGCCAGGGGGACATATCATAGGGGGTGCGCTCCCACGTCTGACCCCAGGACAGCCACGCACCCGTGCCCGAAGGGGGAGATGAAGTACAGGCAGCAGTGCACTCGGTTGTCTTGGATGTTCTTTCGGTTGAGGCCGCTCTCATCGCGGAAGTACTGCTCAAACTGCTGGTCCACGTAGTCAGTGATGGGCTTCCAGCTGTGGGCAGGGAGGAGCGTGAGGCCAGGCCTGGAGTGCTGTGGCTGCCTAGGCAGGGCCTTTCTCAGCAGGCCTCGCTCACCACTCGGTATTGTTGACGGCATCCCCGAATCCCGGCGTGTCCACGATGGTGAGCTTCAGCTTGACTCCTTTCTCTTCAATGTCCACTGTGTGTTTTAGAATCTCCACCGTCTGGCTGATGCGCTCTATGGGGAAGGGGCCACTGGAGGGGCCTTTCCAACCCTCAGCCCTTCACCTTCGGCAGCCAGGACCCTTGTCCTCATCCATCTTGGTGCCTCAGCCCTACCCCTGGGGCACTCACACTGTGAAACAGAACAGTGGGAGCTGGACCTGGAATGGGGAGCCCTTGGAGGGGTTCTATGGCAGGGGGCTGGGGATCAGAGCCCGGACCTCCTGGAGGCCACTCACCCTCCGCACTGAGCAGCTTCCGGTCCTTGTACAAGTCGGTCAGGAAGAGGCTGTGGACCAGTGTGGACTTCCCCAGGCCCGACTCACCTGCACACAGGTACAGAGAAGGAGTTGGGTTAGGTCTGGGGCTCCAACGACAGAGCTTGTCTGGCTAGGGATCCCCAGCCACTCCCCCAAGGAGTCTGGCCCACTCACCAGCCACCATGAGAGTGAAGTCAAAGCCCTTCTTCACGGACTTTCGGTGCACCTGGTTGGGCAGTGTGGCGAAGCCCACGTACTGCTTGTCAATGTCCTGGGGGCAGCAGGGTGGGGCAGATTAGGGACATAAACTTTTCTCCAGGAAGCCCAATACCCTGTCTCTTACCAAATGCAGGATGAAGAGACAGCAGAGGTACCGTTCCCAGGGAGGGGCATTTTTTTGGCAAAAATGAGGGGAGGGCCCGTGGGCAAAGTCCTGGAGGTAAGAAGACAGGGGAGGGGGTGGCAAGAGAAAACACCCCTGCCCCAACCTCAGGGAGGGCTCTGCGGGGACGGAGACTGTTTGTCCTGGGGAGATGTCAGGCCGCCGCAGTCACAGGCGGTGTCCTCCCTCCTTGCACAGAGGGCAGCAGGCTTGGGACCCCTGGGACACACTCAAGGCCCTCCACAAGCTGGAGAAGCTCAGGGCCTTGACACTCACCCTCCGGAGAGTGCCAAGGGGCGGGAGGCCCTGCCTGGCCCGGATCCAGCCGCGGGGGCGGCGGCAGCAGCGGCGGCGGCGGCGGCGGAGCAGCGCCTATTTATAGACGGCGGCGCCGAGCCTCCCCGGCCCGCGCGCCCAGCCCCCGCAGACCCTTGGGGCCCCTGGAGGGGTCCCACGGCTGCGTTCTCCGCCCCGTTTTGGGAACCCAGGAAGTGAGGCCTGGACAGGCCACGTCGCCCACCCTGGGGCCGTGGACCCCTGAGGCCTCTGCGGAGGGCAGGGCTGAGCCGAGGCGCTGGCGGGCAGTGGTGCTCGGGGACGGGGAGCCCTTGCTGGCCCCTGCCGCGTCCCGGAGCCCGCGGGGTCACAGACCCACGTTCCGCCCTCTCCACACACGCACCTTGAGCCGCCTCTGGGCCTGGGTCCGCGGCGACAGCAGCTGCTCCACCAGGCGATCCTGGGGCGCTGCCAGCGAGTCCATCGCGGCGACCCCCGTGGGCCCGCGCTCGCACCCCAGGCCTGGTCAGGCCGCCAGAGCCCGGCGACGGCGAGGTACCCTGGCTCGGCTCTGCTTTAGGCTGCGTTCTCCTCCCCGTTTTGTGCACGCGGGAAGTGAGGCCTGGACAGGGCACGTCGCCCACGGGGGGGGCCGTGGACCCCAGCGGCCGCCCGAGCCATCCCCCTGACTGGGTGGACTGGCCCCGAGCTGTGGCGGCGTCGCAGCCCGGCCGGGCCCCGCTCCCGCACCCAAGCCAGAGGCGGGGCGTCGCGGGCGCCCGCGGATCGCGCAGCGGGGGGCGGCAGAGACGGCCCCGCCCGCCGTCGCCGGGAAACGGTCGCCTGGAAATTGGGCCACGGGCGGAGCCACGCGAAAGCGGCTGCGGAGGGCA